TAGGTGGGTTAGGAGGAAAAGGCCTGCAAAAATGGGGAACTCAACCTGGCTTACTCATTAAAGAAGCTTTAAAACACAGGCATCAGTAGTCCTTACCTTAGACAAACTGCAATCCACCCAAGCATTCCAAAAGGCTTCCAAGGAGCTCATAAGGTGTGGGCAAGCTTGAGAGCCACTGTCCTAAGAATTAACTTTATTGTTATTAAAAGATGAAAAACTATGGCCAGATAAAATGAAAAAATTCATCATAACTTTACTTCTCCATAAGTGACTGTAGCATCATGATAGTCTGTATATCTTATGTTCATTTCTTTTTCAACTTAAGTGATATTTTAAAACAATGTGAGGAATTAACTTCTGTAAGCTAATAAATAATACCCTAAAAAGATTTCTTTTTAATAATTTGGTCTACATCTGAACATTTCTAAAACCTTTAGTCCAGAGGGGAAAGTACCTCTTTTGAGTCTTGCTCCAAAGTTCAGCCTTTTCCCACCACACTCTCTGATAATAGGCCTCCAGCCAGCCACTGGACTTCAGTTCTTCAGTATATGCAGGATGGCCTTGGCAGGAGGCTTTTCAGGTAGCTGTGTGGTGACCATGAACTTGTCTATGAATCATTTCTCTAGAAACACTTTGGTAAGTGATGTTTTTAGAACTCAAGCAGAGTTTTCCATTTATATCACCTATGGGAAAACTGGTATGCCTTTTATGAGGGTGGGCCTTGGTCTGCAATTCACTTCCATGAAGGGCTTGACTGAACAAGAGAAGTCTGAGAAGCAGGTACTCTGGGCAAAGTGGTATCTTTCCTCTGTAGAATCGCAGTATGTAGCTGGTACCTCTTCACATCAAATTCTATTTCCTTTGAATTCCATTTTACTTTGCACTGTGCTGGTGGACATCTTCCTCCAACCCATGGAGGAATCTGATATCAAAACATTCAAACAACAATAAATTGAAACCGTAAGTGTGACTCCAAGGGTGATCAGGGCCTCCAGAGGAGGGCTGTCAAGAATGGGACCCTAAACTAGAAAAGGGATGGAGAGGAGGTGACTCTTAGTTGAGTCTGAATGAGTACTTGCAGGCAGAGGAGAGCAACCATCAGGGTTCATTCATGTCATTCTGGACATGAATCAGAATCAGAATGCAGCAGGGAGAATGCTAGCTAGGCCCAGGCTTCACAAAAGGCAATTGAGAGATGTCACTACAGAAGCGCATCTGGATAGGAACTCTCCTCTATTTTCAAGCAGAGGAAGTTACACTGCTCCATGAGCACAGAGGAGCTGGGAGGAATTCTAAGAGAGGTGTGATAGTGATGCAGTGCTTTATGCAAATGGATTCTATGCTTATAGGTGGGATGGTCGGTCTGAGGGGGGGGATGATGAAGTGATGGTTGCAAAATGGTGGGAATTGAGGAACTCAGTTGGAGAAGGGCAATGTGTTGATTACTGTCTACTGTAATGCTAAATGTGGGCCCCCAAAACCTGAAGTCTGCACGTAGCCCCTGGGACTCTGATCCCAAGTTAATTCTGATTGGTGAATAAAGATGCCTGCAGCTAATAGTTGGGCAAAAGAGAGATAGGTGAGGTTGAGTTTTTATGCAGGCTTAGGTCAGAGGAGAGAACACAGGAAAGAAAGGAGCTGCCAAGGAAGAAAAGGGACATGGGGGGTGGGGGAGAGAGAGGCAGAGAGACAAAAAGAGACAGAGACAGAGAGAGACAGAGAGAGACACACACACACACACACAGAGAACTATGGGATAGAAGAACATGCAGGAGAGGAGAAAGGAGAGCCACCATTGGTTAACTGAGCCACAATAATGTGGCCATGTTGGCTAGCCAATTGGAACTCAGAGCTGTCCACATGAAATATAGTAAGCAATAATTTGGGTTATGGGTAGGAAGGTAGATTCTAATAGCATGAAAGGTTGATGGGCTATTGTGCTGCATAAGGGATATTAAATTATAAAGACTGTGTCTTTCATCTGGGAACACAAGTGGTCTGAGGTAGGTAGAAATACCATGTCACAATATTTTAAAATAATTACTACAGCAGTGGGCACAAGGAACCGTGACAATGTAGGCTCACTAGGATGAAGTCATAGAATCACCTTAGTGTGTACCAATAAAGGGGAGAAGAAAGGGGTGAACAGAAAGTTGTAACCCTGGGCAACTGGAAGAAAGAATTTCAGAATGGAAATTGGGGATTCAGGAAGAATGAACTCAGGAGTGGAGACAATTAGGAGGTGAGTTACACTATGGAAACGCAGTCATGACAGGTGTGGATAAATGGAGCTGGAGGGATGGCTCAACGGTTAGACACACTGGTCATTATTCCAGAGGACTCACACGGTGGTTTATAATCATCTGCAACTCCAGTTTCAAGGGATCTGACCTCCTTTTCTGACTTCTGGGGGTGTTGCACATATATGATACATAGACATTCATGCAGGCAAGACACCCATACACATAAAAATGAAAATGAAAAAAACAAAACTAACATAAGTCAACAGACAGATAAACTAATAATTCAAGTTTGTCAGTCAAGAACCCCAGATCCTCAAGAAAAAGAGGCTTGAACGCAGAGCACTGTGAAAGATGAATGAGGAGGAAATGACCCACTTTGCCACACTCAGAAGGACATGACTTTTACAATTATCTCAATCTATGTGCCTTGGGCAGGTAAACGTCTTCCTAGAAAAGGCCTCTGGAAATTGTGTTTATAGCACATTACATAATCGTCAAATATTTACTCTGTAACAAAGAAATTCTATTCCAAACAAAAAGGATCCTTGTATTTACTATTACACAAAGTAAAAGAAAAAAAAAAGCCAGGTGCTTTTTCAAGTCAACAAACACTTACACCCTTGATTGCATCCTGTTAATATTTCATGGAGAAAGTACTGTAGTCTATTTCCTAGCCTTGGTTATTGTTTCTGCTGAGAATTGGAGGAAAGTGGTAGTCTTCATTGTAAAGCAACTAATTTCTTGCCCCCACCCCCAACATCCACATCTCCCAAGGGTCTTCGCTTTTACCTCAATAATCTGTTACAGAAAGCATTTTAAATGCTCAGTGCATTTTAATTGGATTTTACAGTATAAATGATCATGAATGATTTGTCTGCTTTCTAGTGTTTCCATTTACAATATCTGGCAGTATGTATTGTCATTGAGTTAGCAGCTTTGTAGGACTCCAAAGAACTTGCAAAAGTACTTCCTGCCCAGCACACATCTGGAACATATGTACCATGTGGCTAGTTAAACGCATGACATGGTCATTGGTTATTTTGTTTCCTCAATGACTTAACATCATCCCTTCGTTACTATCAGCTCTCACTACTAATGGCTTTTGAATTTGCAAATTTACCTGTTTATTGGTGCAATCTCAAAGTCAAACTCATGGCAATTTTTCTACTCACTTGAAGTCTCATACAGAACAGCAAAAAGGTTAAGCGCCTGAGTGTGTATTCACAGCTGAAGTGAAACAAAAAGGTATCTGCCTTCCTCGTTCAGCTCCCATTCTATGAACAAGGGTCCATTTACAATGTGATTCGTGTTCATTTTCACAATTTTGTACTTTATGGTGTTAATTTCTGCTGTCTAAAATGGCTATTAAATATAGTGGCGAAGGGCCAGCTAGCGTTCCCAAGGGTAGGAAGCTGTGATATGCATTAGGTAATCTGAGTGCAGACAGGAGTTATAGCACTGATAGCTGTAAGATTAATGCTAATGAATATATGATGCCTAGTAAATATGGCATATTTTATTTTACTGTGTTTGCGGGGCTAGGACATGAAGCTAGCATCTCAGACACACCAAGCAAATGCTCTAACAAGGAACTGTGTTCCTGGTCCAGTCTAGTCCAGTCCCGTTCAGTCCCATCCAGTCTTGTCCAGTGCAGTATCTTTCGACAACGCTGATCATAAACCAAGATTATATATTTACTAGTTGACCCCAAGACTCTGAGCAAAGGCATACAGTAACCTAACCCCATGCCAACAGTCACATCTTTGCTAATTCAGGTGTTTCCTGCAGCTTTAGAAGCCTAATGCATAGAATGAGAATCAGGTGGCACTTGCAATCTGTAGACAGGAAGCCAAGAGTCACGGTCATTGGCTTAAGGGTTTCAGAGTCTAAAGTGAGACCCATACTGTTCAGTTTAATGAACTCAGTGTACTTGTGCTTCAAAGAATTGTATCAAGGCTGGGCATGGTGGTGCACACTTTCAATCCCAAAACTTGGGAGGCAGAGGCAGAGTGATCTCTTAGGAGCCTGAGGCCAGCCTTGCCTACACAATGAGTTCTAGGCCAGCCAGGACTACAAGGTGAGAACCTGACTCAAAATAAAAACTATCGAAAATTGTCTCTATAATCTCTCCTGTTGTCTACATCAGCTGTTTAAATTCTGACCATTTCTTTTTCTCACATTATAAATGTCTCCTTTCCTGGGTGCTACTGCAGCATGCATGGGGACTGGGGTTGGCATTTGGCTTTCTCAGATGCTGCATCATCACTAGCCCCTGCCTACTGGGCAGCAGTGCCCACAGCACCGAACATGGGTTGACTGACACTTTCTCTGCCTTTGTTATGGCAGTCCTTGTTGATTCTTATTCCCAAGAATTCCTAGCGCATTGTCTCCACAATACTTGGTGTTGTGGCCTACATTCTATCCCTTGAACAAAATCTCATCACTCAGCTCCTAGTTTCAACCCTCTAGCAACTCAACCACAGCTTCCTGGAAAACCTTTCCTGATCTCAATCACTTAGCAAAGGGAAACATAATCCCTAGCAACACAGCAGAGTTAGTTAACCGCATACAGTTCTGCTAAACACAAAGCTGGTACCCAAGTATCTTAATTTGCACACCTTTGTTCCCCTGGAGCACCGAACTTCCAGTAAATGATTTATTCCAATTTATTCCAATTTATTTCATGGTTTAGAAGCGTCTTCACCGCTGCCGCGACGCCATTTGCCACTGCCGAACGTGGGCACAGGCGGCTCTGTAAGCACCGGTGACCAGCCTCTCCCGAGCACGCTTTTCGACTTCCCGCACAGTCTTCATCCCGCGCACTTCTCAGCGTCGCCCGTCTGAGCCACCGCCTTTCCTGCCACCAGCCCTAGCAAGGTCCCACACGCCGCCAGCCGGTCTTTGCCGCCATGCCCAAGAATAAAGGAAAAGGAGGTAAAAACAGGCGTAGAGGAAAGAATGAGAATGAATCTGAAAAGCGAGAGCTTGTGTTCAAGGAAGATGGACAAGAATATGCTCAGGTAATCAAAATGTTGGGAAATGGACGATTAGAAGCCATGTGTTTCGATGGTGTAAAGAGGCTGTGCCACATCAGAGGGAAATTGAGAAAAAAGGTTTGGATAAATACCTCAGACATCATATTGGTGGGCCTCCGAGATTACCAGGACAACAAAGCTGATGTCATTTTAAAATACAACGCAGATGAAGCTAGAAGTCTCAAGGCCTATGGCGAGCTTCCGGAGCATGCTAAAATCAATGAAACTGATACATTTGGTCCTGGAGATGATGATGAAATTCAGTTTGATGACATTGGGGATGATGATGAAGACATCGATGATATCTAAACTCAACATTTTACATTCCAGTCTTCCTGAAGATTGTCCTTCAAGTTTGGAATCTGGCCATAGACCTCAAAGAAAAGTTTTCACCATCATCATGTTAGTAATTTGTTGAGGCAGATTTGATACTACAGTCTTTCAAAACTGATAATCTTAACTGATAAGCTAAGCTTACTTTGTTGATTCAATTTAATGATCCTTAAGAAGACCATTTAAGGAGAAAAAAAGGCCTTTCCTACTCCCCTTCTAGTAAGTAAATGGGTGTTTTGAATAAAACCATTTGCCTTGTACTCAGTATAAAAAAAAAAAAAGAAGCGTCTTCATGTGAATACAAAATGAACACATATTAGTTATAGATTACTGAGAAGTGTAAAAACAAGGAAAAAGGAGTCTCAAAGGTGTTTGACTGTTTTGTTTCTCACACGCAGTGCCTCCCAACCCAGAGGGGTGTGTGTGTGTGTGTGTGTGTGTGTGTGTTTACAAGGGTTTCACTGTGTAGCTCAGGTAAGCCTCACATTTATGAATTTCCCATCACCTCAACTTATGAAATCAGAGGTGTGTACCATCATGCCATCCTGGATAAACTTAAAAACAAAAACAAAATATCAACCCCCCTTCCCCAATGTGGTATTATAAAGACTGTCTACTTGTGGATATAATTAATACTATTATTTATTATGTTTTGAGAAATGGCCTCACTGGGTACCCCAGGCTAGTTTTGAACTTGTGATCCTTCTATGCCTGCCTCTTGAGTGTTGGGTATGATAGACACGGACCATCACTCCCAAGTATTTAATGCTATTTAATTGACAGTAAAATATTGTCAATGTAGTTTCTCCATAAATTATGCAAGAATCTCATATAGGTTTGTTTCTAGGTAGTTTATTTTTTGGGGTCAGACACCAGTTCCATAGCGGCAGTCTTTCTAGCAAACCCCTTCGACACATCTCTGATTGTTTTCTTTGAAAAAGTGATGCAAATTTGGAATTGATAGTTCAAAAATATCAATTTATTACATAACATTATTTTGAGACCCTTGAAAGAGTCCTATGCAAGTGCACTGTAAGCACTGATTAGCATTCACTCTTGTACTTCTGAACTGAATTTTCTGCATACAAGTAAGTTTACTTGTGGTATGCGGGGTTAGGATGCTAAGGCCCAGAGAAATATACTTCCTGGACAGCTTCTAGGAGAGAATCCTTCTCTTAAAAGTGTTGCTGATAGATGAGGAAGTCTCTGTGTTTACATAGGTATCACAAAGAATGCTTTACTCATAGCAAGCTTCAGACTAGCTTGATGTAATGCATTACTCAAACTTGTCTGGAAACTGCATGGAACAGCTGTTTTGATGGGATAATAACTCTGAACACTGTATGCTAATTTTCTATTCAGATTTTACTGTTTCTCCTTAAATGTGTCAAATTCCTCAAACAATACTCACTCTAGAGTTCAGGATTTTATTCAAAATAAGCAGTATTGGCAGGAGTGGTTGCTACTGGATAGAATTCTGCTGGGTCCATGTCCAAATGGAGGGGTAGAACAGTTTAATGCATGTTTGTGCCTGCATATCTAAGTATCCCCTGGAAAGAAAGTCACTGCCGTCAGTGGCCAGTGTCATTGATTAACTTGTGACTACTATGCCTGAGGAAAATCAGAAGCTGCCTGCACATCATCCTTACTGCTTAAGGAGTAATGAGGGATCAAGCCACAGGATACACGCTGCTTGCACGTCTCAGTGAAGATGCAGCCTGGCCCATGAAATTGTCCCTTACACGATGTCAGTGTAAAGTGAATGTGATTAGACAAAGCATTGCCCGTGTCTTATATATCTGATCCAGAGTCCTACCTGAGATCTGTGCAAATCAGAAGGAAGCCTGTATTGTACATGTTTTCAGTTGGTGAATGTCCCATTGTTACCAAGAGTTTTGTCTATTTTTGGTTTTCTGGGCATGGCAGTGGAAATAGCTGGGCTTTATTCTGGGGCCCATGTTTGTGCTGAGGCTCTGTGTGTGAACTGACTGGTGATTTAGGTTCTCACTGTTGGGGCTAGCAGAATTGGTCAGCAGGTTGTTCGTGTTTGAGACCAGCACTTCCTCTTCTTGTACACTCTTGTCATTTCCTGATATTCTCACTTCCCCCTTACCAGCTTTGTCATAGACAAGAAGGTCCTGATAAACAAATTTCTCATAAGATGATAACATCTTTTGTCACTATTAGGAATATTTTATTTTTTGTCCTTTTGAAAGAGATCTTTTATTTATTTATTTTTATTTTATTTATTCATTCTTGAACATTTCATTCCAGTATACAATGTATATTGATTATATCTCCCTCCACTTCCCTTAAAGTAGGACCAGAAGAAAATAATATTAAAAAAGATTTGTTTTTATTTTATTTGTAGGAATGGTTGTCTGCATGTATACATGTGAACCACGTGACCGATGTCTTCAGAGACCAGAAGAAGGTGTGGAATCCCTTGGAACTGAACTTACAAACATGGTTGTGAGTGGCCGTGTGGGTGCTGGGAATTGAACCTGGGTCTTCTGGAGCACAGCAAGTGCTCTTAACCACTGAGCCATCTCTCCAGCACAAAAGGACGCTCCTAACAACCTCAGCAACAAAATAGCTTCCAGTGTGAGTTTCTGTGCCATTGCGATATGAATGTCTGGAGAGAGGACTATTTATTTGGTGTTTAAGAGGCATATGGGAAATATTAGAACCAAGATTAGAGGAGTAACTGTATTTCTGGAACCCAGGTGCTTGAACTGACCAAAGGGATGTTAATTAATCTGGCTGTTGTCATGGAAAGAGACAGGTTGCTGGTGAAGATTCATTTATTCTCACTCATAGTTCCTTACGGTCCATTCACTTCCTGCTAGTATGAGAATAGAATTTAGACATGGTAGAGATTTGAGTACTGTTAAAATCACCAGCAAGTTTCTTCTTTTGTTAAGATTTTTCATGGTTCATTTTAGCAAATTTATGCTGGTTTATGTTAGAAAGGTTTCTGTACCTCACCTTTTTAGAGTAAGAAAAACATGTGCTTAAATTTAACTTATTCTCATTCACAGGCAGAAGTGAAGCAAGGGTTTTTTTTGTCTTTTTTTTTTTTGTTTTTATAATAACCAAAATAATTGGATCGAATCTTTCTTGCACCTTCAAGCAGTGATCACTTGGAATTCAGATCTCTTTCTAGGTAAGAAGCATCTACCCTAAAAGGCAGGAGAAGTTTAGGGAGCACATGATTTGATTTACCTGTTTGTGACAATCAGCAGCTACCCCAGTATGCCAGGAACCAGGCCATGGGGTTTGTCTTTAATTTTGCTTAGAGGTGTAAACTCTAAAAACCATTTTCTTTGACTGTTAAGGGGAGTTGCAGGTATCTGCAGTGCTCATTATAAAGAAAAGGCCCCGTGTGTGCACATCTCCATCTAGGTTACACTTCCTAACTTTACTGTTTATCAATGCAGCAGGGCTTCTCTCTTGGAAGTTGGGGCTAGCCGGGGTCTTTATCAACAGAAGGAAACACCTCAGGATCACAGTGGACCTTCTAGGCTTTGTTGAGCTTACCTTGCACAACGCAGCAGCTAAAATTCAGGCAAGATAATAAATCCTGTACAGTAAGTCCATGCACACTAGAACTCTGGTGTATGAAGATCCTAGTTTTTTTGTTTTCTCTCTTATTCTTTCCCTTTTCTTTTTAAAGTATCATTAAGAGTCATGTTGTTCTCTGCTCCATCCCCCATGTCTACATTTCTTGTAGACAGGATAAATTTTAGGTTCAAAGTTTTGTGGGTAGGTTGATGTCTCTATGGCTCCATCAGGTTTCCTTCTTGGCTACAGGAGGTGGCCTCTTCAGGTTCTACATCCCCAATGTAATGAGTCACAGCTAAGGTTACCCTCATTGATTCTGGGTGCTTCCCTTATCCAAGAGCTCTGTCTCATGCTGCAGATGCTCTGCACCTCCTCACCCCCATCAATTACAGATTTCACTTCATTTTTATGGCCGTCCAGCCATCTCTCCTGTCCTTCCCCACACCTGATCCTGAACCCCCATTCTCTCTCCATCCCCCTTCAATTCTAGCCATCTCTCCCCACATCCTCACCCTTAAGCCCATTTCCCATTTGTCTTTCAACCTGTTTTTTCCTCTCTTATCTGTCACCTCTCACCCCATCCTCCATTCTACTCATTAAACTGACTCTATTTTCCCATTTCCCAGGGAGATCCATGTACCTCCACCCCCCAATTCCCTCCTCTATGCCTGTCTCCACTGGGTCTACAGATTGTGGCTTGATTACCATTTATTTAATGGCTAATACCCACATGTAAGCAAATACGTACTATATGTATCCTTTTGGGTCTGGGTTACCTCACTCAGGATAATTTTTTTCTCTAGTTCCACCCATCCACCTGCAAATCTCTTGATGCCATTTTTTTTTTAAAAAGCTGAGTAATACTCCATTGTGTAATTGTAACACATTTTATCTGTCCATTCTTCTGTTGGGGAACAGGTTGTTTCCAGTTTCTTTCTATTAAGAATAAAGCAGCAATGAACAGAGCTGAGCACGTGCTCCTGTGGTAGGTAAATGCTCAAGAGTGGTATCTTCCAGAGGAACTGCCATAGTGGCCATACAAGTTTGTACTCCCACCAGCAATGGGGGAGTATTTCCCTTGCTCTGTTCTCACCAGCATGAGCTGTTGCTTATATTATTGATCTTAGCCATTTAGATAGGTGGAAGATGAAATCTCAAAGTAGTTTTGATTTGCATTTCCCTGACAGCTAAGGGTGTTGAACATTTCTTTAAGTGTTTCTTAGTCATTTGAGTTCTCTCTTTTGAGAATTCTCTGTTTAGATTTGCACCCCATTTGTTTTTTTTAATATAAAGTTTCTTGAGTTCCTTATGTATTTTGGATAAGGTAGTGCGGCACACTCCTTCCTGGGGTGAGAAGTGTATCAGCTTGGGAAGAAGGACTTATTTCTCTTAGGCCAGCTTTTGTCCTCAGCATCACTTCCATTTCACATGTCCCTTGCTCACAATACCTGCTGGTACTTCTGGTGGAAAGATCAGCACTTCCCAGTCCTATTGTGTGCTTCAGGGCAAGGCTCTAACCAATCTGTGGCACACTCTCCTAGCCTGAGATTTCTCCATTCTTCTTTTTCCACCCTCCTTCTCTAACATACAGGACTAGAGAATTTGTCCACTTGGTATCAAGGCTGTTCCTAACACAGTTCCTTTCTTCCCGATGAGGACACAGTGCCTGATCATCCAGGGTT